AATCTCTGGCTTGATGCTGAGACAAATGATGGCCTCCCTCGCAGGGGGAATCACGGCAGAGTGGGAACCGCGATCCTACGTTCAGCGGGCATACCTTCCATTGCGCGTGCCTTTGAGACACCCCAGCAAAGCTGCCGAGGAGACAGCAAGATTGACAGGCCAGAGTCGCAAGGAAGGTGTCAGAGCCGGATTCTCTTTGGGGGCCATTGAGCATCAGCTGAATGGTGGGCCACGTGAGGGGCGCCACGAAGAGCAAGGAGAGAGCTTAGGAGCAGACTTGGAGGACGCGAGTCGGTAAAGGTCGTAGAGGAAGCTGCAGGGAGGCAAAGCGGACAGGACCGGAGTCCCGATGTGAGACGTCCCAAAGCCGCGTGGTGGCTCAGTGGTGTGCCTCAAATTCATATATTGAACCCCTCACCCCCAGTACCGCAGAATGGAACCCTAGTTGAAGGTAAGTTCTTGCAGGAGGTAATTAAGATAAGACGGGGCATTAGGGTGGGCCCTAATCCAGTATTGTTGGTGTCCTTGTAAAAAGAGGAAGTCTGACAACACGCGGCGCTGTGTGCACACCAAGCAGAGACAAGGAGAGCAGCCTCAGGAGCAACCGCACCTGCCGACACCTCGATCCTGGACTTCCAGCCTCCCGAGCCGTGAGGAGATGAATGTCTAGGGTTTGAGCCCCCTGGTCTGTGATGTTTGTTACGGCAGCCCAAGCAGACTCATACGGACAGCTAGCTGTGGGCAGCCGGTCACTAGGGAGGAAAGTGTGAGCATGAGCAGGGGACAGAGGGCCCAGCCTTTCCAAGTCTAGATGATAACAGGACCATAGGCAGGTGACCGGACCGCAGTTCCCAGGCAGCACAGGTATCCTACGGCGTCCTAGAGGGCGGTGTGCCCTGGGTGTGGGGTTTCACTGCATTCTTAAATTTCCACAGGGCTTTTCCAGGGGTCTCTCCCACCCCGTCTCACCTTTCTCCCACCCCTCCGCCCCCGCAGCTGGAGAGGTAGCTGACCGTGGGCGCGTCTGTTCTTGGTCTCCAGAGCTCAGCCATGAACGGCAGGCTCCAAGGCTGGGCCGCTGTGTCCGCTCTCCCTTATCGAAGCCCAGTCATTGATATTTTAATGAGACCCTTTTCCAGCTCAGCAGTTTATCTTCAGTCTCATGTTCCCCCCGCCATCTGGTCCCCTTCTGCTCGCATGTGAGGCTAGTGGCTTTCTTTGTGTAAGTAGATTTGTCAATAGTTGATAATTTTTCTTGTCATGATCATAATATTTATTTTGCACATCAGACAAACTCTTCTGGAGACTTGGAAGAAAGAGGTTTTTGTGTTTCTTTTCCTTTTTTTGGTCACGTCTCTCTTTACCCTGGATTTTTCTTTGTAGAAAACATGTTGTTTTTTTTTTTTTTTAAAAAGTATTAAATAAAAATAAATGAACCAAACCTCCCAAGCCAACATATCTTCGAGTTCTAATTACTGCTGGACGCCCTAAACTGGCACTTCATTTAAGGAACAGTTTCACAGCAGGCCGGCCTTACAGCAAATGGTCGTGGAGGCTTAAACTCGGGCAGCAGAAGTGGCCTCTGGTCCCTCTAACTTTAAACTCAAACCCAGGAAAATCCCATACCTAGGACATTTTTATTTTTATTCGTTTCTCAGTCTCTAACCCTTGAAGTTCTTGTCTTAAAGCTGCTTGTCTTTGGTTGTTCAAAACCCCTGGGTCCCCTCCCAGTTGCTCTGGCTTTCTTTATTACTAACCTTTTTCCTGCTCTGGATTCACCGTCAGATTATCTTGAGATTTTTTTTCCCCCTGCAGGAAAGGGCTTTGATATTCTAGGCTCCCCCTAGTGGCTGATGGCACCGTGCACCTGTGGGGGCTGCTGGGCCCTGAGGAGCGCTCTGAGGAAGGTCAGTCTTGGTGGGAAGGCCGGGCCTGCTTAAGGGCCCAGAACACGGCAAATTGACCTCAAAAGCTCCCTTTGGCCAGCCACTGCCTCTGACCTCAGTGTGTCCCCCATTGTGTCCCTGGCACCCAGCCACTGCCTGGCACGCTGAGCGCTCCATAAATAAGTGAATGAGGGGCCTTGTTTTCCAATACCAACATGTGCAATGACATCAACAAAGACCGAAACAGCATGTAGTGGCTGAAATAAAATTAGTGCAGTTCAGACCTGTTTGAGAAAAAGTGGCTAAAAACCTCACTGACATCTGATATTCCTATGCTTCCAAGTTTCTGGAGAGCTTGAAGTGCTCGTGAGGTTGATATCAAGGACTCTATTTTAAGGATGATGGGGACCTCAAGAGTTTTTGCTTTTGTTTTGGGGGTTGTTTTGTTTTTGAGGATTTAAAGAGAGCACATATGTAAAGCTCCCACCCCAACAGGACAGGCACTAAGAGCTTTGAACACAGCTGACGGTCCACCTCTTCTCTCTAGGACACATCGGAGTCAGGCCCAGAGGTTGGTTTCTTGGTTCCTGGACCCTCCTCACCTTCCTGCCACGGCTCAGTGTCCCTCCCACACTGCTCTCAGACTCTGAGGGGACACCTCTCGGACAGTAGGCAGGGCACCTTGGGCAGACAGTGATCCTCTGCCTCTCTCATCTTTCATGGGTGAGGGAGGGGGCATTGCACCCCCACAGTTAACATCATAGATGCTAAATAGCTGGCAGTCGAGCCTGGGAACCCGGCCAGGCATTGACCAGAGACCCTCCAGTGGTCACTACGATATCTCTGGGCTGGTTCCCTGCAGACAGACAGCTGCATTTCTGGGAGAAAAAAAAAGCCACACAAACAGTGAGGCCCCTCAGGCCCAGTGACTGGTCCTCCACACACCTGCTCGGAGGCACGTTGATCGCCCTTCGCACTTTCCTTCTGGATAATGGGTGCGTTGCTCAGTTGCCCTTGGACATGGCGCCAATGATAAATATCACCTATGTCCCCGTGGTCCAGGGGACCTGAATCAATGCATCATTTTGAGATGTGGCCCAGGCCTTCTGGCTGGTCTGACCTTTGTCAAGATGTTTAAAATAAACTGAAATAATTTAAGTAGACTCTCATGTTCCACAATCCTCTTTCTAAGAGCCATGCAGATTTTACTCTTTTTACCTCTGACCTTTTTCTTAAATCTGTCTCCCTAGGGGTGCGACAGCTCCACCACCAGCCCTCCAGGCAGATGACAGGAACTCCATGGCATTGAAGGGCCACCTGGCCCCTCCACTCATTCTGTCATCTGTGTATTCAGGACTGACCCTTCTGTCTGGCTAAATAGTTACTGAGCGCATTGATACATTTGAAATCTTCATTAACTCACAAAGTTTCCTTTGCCTCATCTGCCAGTGCTCTTTTAGAAATCAGCACATCGCAGTTGGGGAGGGGGATCTCCCTAACAAGCCCAAACTGAGTGGAATATACCATTTCTCTTTCGTGTAAAAGGAATTCTATGCTTGGTAGGGAAATTCAGTTAAGATATTTGGGGTTGGCATATTTACATGTGTGGGGTTTTTTTTCTTCATGATGAGGCTGCATTTCTATTCTTTTGCTAATTGGTTTTTCTTTTGTGTAATTTAAAGTCAGAAGGGAGTGACATTTAGGGAGGTAAGTGGGAAGGAAGAAATAAAGGGAAAGGAGAGGGAGACAGGGAAGAAAACATATTCCTCTTCACCATGTCACCTGTCACCCAGAGTGACACGGCTTTGCAAGTTAAGGCTGGGATTTCCTGGTGGTTGCCGGGGCCTAGTGATTGGCCATGTCAGGACTGATGATAAGTATTTTACCTACATAAACTTCATAAACTTGTTACATTCACGGCAGGCCGCAGGGCACATATAAATCGCCGCATCTTACAGGTAAGTAACTGAAGCTTCAAAGGAGTTAAATAACTTGCCTTGAAACAGAGGAAAGTAGACATGAGTGCCGTCCAGTGGCTTGGACAGGGCTGTCAGAATTAAATCCAAACTGGTCCGATCCTTCCTGCCCTCACGCTGTCCTCCCCCCAGTCTCACCTAAGGGCAGTGTGGGCCTCCACCAGGGGCCACTAAGTCAAGGCCCTGAGGCCTTGACCGTGGTACTGGACAAATAGCTACTGTCCCCTCTCTGCTTCAACTCCTGACTGGAGGTATAGCCAATGATCTTTAAATTATTTTAAAGACATTTTGTTTTAAAAAATAGCAGAAGAATGCATGACATGGATTATAAACTGGCAAGTTGGATGGTGAGAAGCCACTCAGCTCCGTGCTAAGAAAGCTGATAATGAATTCGGTGTTGGCAGTTCTGAGGAAACTTAAAAACACCTGGGCGTGCTAACGCCCCAGAAGCGAGACAGACCCCTCCTTGCTTTCACAAGGCGGTGGGCTGTTTCTCCTTGCTGCTCGCCTGGCAGGGCTCCGGAACGGGGCTCGGGAACCTCCAGGCTTGGGAACCTCGGGGCAACCCCTGGGGCTCCGACTGACAGGCTGTGGAGCCCGAGGAGAAAGGCGTTCCCGTGCGCACACACACAAATACACACTCACACACCACACACAGTTACAAAGCACAGACGGGCACGGGAGCCCAAGACACACACACAGACGTGTGTACCTACAAATACATACTTCTCCCGCCCGCGCACATCACACCACTAACACGGGCGCACGCGACTTCACACACCTCTCCCGCTCAGGCACACACACCACACACAGGCGCGCAACACGCGAACTCACACTGCGAACTCACACTGCTCGCGCATCTACACACGCATGCTCCCACGCCGTGCACACACCCTCTTGCGCATACACACACCCTCTTGCACAGGCACCCACTGCGCACATACGCTCACACCCCGTGCACACACTCTTGCGCACGCACACACCCTCGCGCGCCCGCGCTCACGCGCCGCGCCCCGCGGCGAGGGGCGGGGCGGGGCGGAGTGGAAGCGCCAGGCCGTCGGTGCCAGGCCACGCATGGCCAGGAGAGGGCGCGGCGCAGGGACCGCGGGCGGCGCGGGAGTTGTTGGCCGGAGCCGGAGACGCTGGCGGGGACGCCTGCCAGCTCTCGCTGCCCTCGGCTGGGCGGCCCGGAGGGAGCGCGTCCCAGGTCGCGCCGGCGCCCGCGGTCCGAGCGCGCCATGGAGCGCAAGGCAGGCGGCGGCGAGGAGGAGGATGACTGTGTGGACTCGGGCGCCGAGACCGGAGGGTAAGCCGGACCGGGCGTGGATGGGAGGCGCTCTCCGAGTTGCGCGGCGGTTCCTCTCTGGCCCGGACGGTCCTGGACCCCGCGGCGGAGCCGGAGCCGCAGCCGCAGCGGCTGAATGGGGCGGCCAGGGCGGCCAGGGCGGCCGGTCCCCCTGGCCCCGGGAGGAAGCCGCAGGCGCCGCGGCGAGCCCGCCCCTCCCAGGCAGGCTCTGAGGGCAGAGTCGCGTGGTGCACGGCTGCCCCGGGCCGGACGGGCCCACTCGGGGCGGGGGAGTGGAAAGACTCAAGGTCCAGAGACCACCCCCCAAAGCGCACGCAGCCCCCCACCAATCCCCTTGGGCCCTCGGTCATTGCTAAGATGATGGGGCGCGCCGGGCAACTGCAGCGTCCCCCTGAGGTCATTGTTAGAGAGACGAGAGATGCCCTTGCACCTGTTTCGGCCTCCCTTGAGGGCTTTCTGCGGGGGGCTCCGGGGCCCCCTGGAGACCGGAGCGGGGATCCGGGATGAGGAAAAGAGGGTAGGACCGCCGGCACCTAAAAGTCTCTCGGAAGTCGGCTAAGTTGGCCTTTTTTATTTTAAGGCTTTACTGAGTTTGCTGAGACTTTACCTCCTCTCCGCCGAACTTCCTCACCCCTCTGTGCACCTGCCCCACCTGGAACCGTTTGCCGTGGGTCCAGGTGGAATGAAGACATATTTAAAGAAATGCCCTTTTCACGTCAACGACTCAGGCTACCCAGCCCTCTCCCAACAAAACCAGCTGCCGCTTGGCCTTTTAGGAGGTGAAAGTCATTGTGAAGGCTCCCACCCAGCCGCTGTCTCCGAGAATTTCCCAGTGCAGAGTCAGCGCCACGTCCAGGAAGTGTCCAGGATGCGGGTACTGACCCCGGAGGGAAGGGTGGGCGTCCTTTCCTATCCGGAGTAACCCTGGGGGCGGCTGGAGCTGCCCGTCCAGAAAGCCTGGATCCGGGAAGGGTGGGGAGGTGTCCACTACTCTCGGGGGCTGGCAAACGGGGTGAGGGCGGGAAGGGAGCCCGGCCCCAGAATGGACTCAGGGTTACTGAGTCCATTCTGACCCCAAGAAGGGCTCCCTGCTCAGCCCCGCCTTCCAGCCCCACCCCCACCCTTCCTGGTAGCGCCGCTGCCCGTGCTGGCCCAAATCTGGACATTGTGCCCTAAGCATTTACCGTACAGTGGCCCTTTGGTGTTACCCAAACCTGTGAGCATCTGAGGTGCCCTACAGAACCCAGGGTTCGTTCCAGAGGGGCACCTGATTCCAAAAATGCTGAACTCCCTGGCTTTTCTCCCACACTTTGCATATGTGGTGTTTACCAACTTGAATCGAAGGTCCTTGGCTTTTTCCTCCTCCTGCCTTTAGGTAGATGGACCACAAATAGAAGAAAACAACAAAACTAACCAGCTCATCTTCAGCCTAGTTACATAAAAGCACTGACTAGTCTTTTTTTTTTTTTCTAATTTGCAAAGCTCACCTAAAACAAATATTTTTTCCCAAGACCTCTCTCTCTAGGAGAAGTGGGTGGAGAGGAATCTGTGACCCACTTGCCATTACCCCAGGGTCCCAAAGAGCAGCATCCATGGGCCAGGACCCCTGAGAGGGGCTTGCCAAACACACTGATTCCGCAGCTTCTCTTCTCTGCCTGCCACAAAAGTGTGCTTTGTAACTGGACAGAATTGTTTAAAGAATTCTTAGAGCCTCCATAGCAGCCTTACATTAAAGTACAGGTAAAGTGGCCCGCACTTAAATAAAATAGTTTCTTTGGATGCTTATTGGTCAGGTATCTGCCCCATGGTCCCAGACCCCTTGAAGTTTAGTTATCAAAAAGCCCCTCACAGCGTCCCCGATTTTCCAGAGCTTGCCCTCCCCTCACCCTCTCTGGCTTTCAGAGAGCTTGCCTGCTGAGATTGTGTATAAAAAGCCAGAAAGCACTCAATCCATGTTGGCTATCATTATTTTTAAAGCACAAATCTGATCACCCATGTCTCCCCCATTCAAACTTTTAGTGGCTCTGCCGTCTATAAAAGGCAAGGATCTCAGCGTGGTGTACAAGCCCTGATGCTGTGGCGTCCCTCCCCCTCTGGCCTTGTTTCTCGGCAGGTCCGCCCGTGCACCCTGCACTGAGCCACGCCCGCAGGGGTTTCCTGGGGCTTGCCTTTGTCCAGCTGACCTCTTTGCCAGCCATGCCCTTCTCCGCCGTGTATACCTGTCCACCAGGTGAAACTCTACTCTTCCTTTAAGACTCAGCTCAAGTGATAACATTCACTAAGGTGGGGACACGAAATTTGGGGTCCGTGAATTGCTTCCAGTTGTTTGCAACACGATGTCACTTGTGAGTTTTTATGGGAAGAGACGGATTTTTCATCAGATCCTCCAAGTAGCCTGTGATCCCCTTGAAACCAGGTTTGGGCAGGGCGGGAGAAGTTTCATTTCCAGCACGCTGCATTCGAGGTATTGGGAGATGTCCAAGGAGGGGTGGTGACGGAGCTCAGAGTGAAGGTCAGCACAAGGACATTGCATCAGGAAACGGTCAGCCTGAACATGGCCCTCAAAGGCCTGGGAGGAGAGACTGCGTTAACTAGAGGCAGCCCAGCTTTCCCTGTGTGCCAGGCACGGTTCTGAGCCTTCACATAGTTTGTGAACTCACTTAATCCTTCAGCGGCTCTACGAAGCAGGTACTGTTTAAGGCCAGCCTTGAACATGTAAGTGTCAGGGAAAGGAGGCGGAGACATTAAAGGAGCCTGAGAAAAAGTATGCATGGAATAAAAAAAAATTTTTTTAAAGGAACAGTGTGGTATTCCAGAAGCCAGGGGAAGAAAGGAAGCAGAGATCAACTGTGCTGCGGAGAAGCCAGGATGAGGATCGTGAAGCGTGGTCTGTTCAAATGGAGAGAAGGAAGGGAAGGGAAGGGAGTATCTGGCAGGGGAGTACGGGCCCTGAACTGCTCCGCTCAGGTAAGCTGTCCCAGTTGAGTGTTAGCGGGAAGCCCCTGGTTTCCTCTACGACCAGTGCACTGATGCCTGTCCAATCAGCACTTCTCTGTATGACCAATCAGGATGCGTAATGTTGACCGACAGGGTCTGCAGGATTTGGAGAGTGGGGTAAGGGAAGGATTTCCTAAACATAGGCAATAATTGAGCCATAGATAAGCACAGAAAGGATTCTGTAAAAGGGGAAGGATAAAGATATCCTGATAGTCTATAACGTCGGCTGTCTGAAGAGGTGGTGGCAAGTAGACTTGAGGCGGCCATTCTGATCTGAAAAAAAACGGCTTTGGATAAGAGGGGGGACTTCTCCCCTCTTGGAAGGAGCAGGAGAGAAGGGAATATGGGTTTCTATTTGATGAAAATGAGCCCTTCTTCCCCAGGAGAAGGGAGACCTGACATAGCTGTTGGGCAGTACTGAGTGAGCACCCAGTTTAGGTGCGTGGCTACGCATGTATGGTGGCCCCGGTCACCTTGCCGTGTATTTCCCTACAGCAGCTCTCCAGCACTGGGGTGCAGGCAGGCCGAGAGAGGTGGTAGGTGTTTGGAATCACCAAGGCTTGGGGGAGAGGGAGTATTTCTAGTGTGAACCAAAATTAATGTAAGACTCTAATGAAGAATAACAAGCATTTATTCAAGCAAAAGGAGCTGCAGTGTGGCAGAAATAGATACAGGTAACAACTTAAACCGTGTTCCTCTTGGGGGGGGCACGGCTTTTCATAGTGGAAGTTCCTGCCTATTCCCAATTAGGTCCCTTTTTTTTTTTGGTAAATGAGGTATCCAAATTTATGCACTTAGGATTGATCCAAATCATGCAGACCCTGTCGGTCAACATTGTGCATCCTGATTGTTCATTATGGAGAAGTTCTGACTGGATGCACAGGGCAGGTATCAGTGCACTGGTCATAGAGGAAACCAGGGGCTTCCTGATATTTGACTCGGACAGCTTACCCAAGCAGAGCGGTTCAGCAAGCCCATTACTGAACCCCAGTGGGGTTGGGCTGCCTGCCACCACCAAGAGGCAAACTCTAGAGGCAGAGGCTGATGGGAAAGGAAAAGGGTTTTTATTTGAATAGCGCGTGGTCTGGGAGAATGGCAGGCTCTTGTCTCAAAGCCCATCTCCTCTGCAAAACCCAGACAAAAATCCAACTGTCTTCAGTGAGAGTTCCTGTTCCCATTTGAAGTACAGTCCTTGGGACCTGCGGGCAGCTGCTGAGCAACTGTCCACACAGCTTAGCTTGGTCCTGGCTGCTGTCTGGCTTCAGGCTGTCCCCTGGAACCTGTGTGTGGGGCTGGCACCATCACTGGCCCGTGCATTCGCCAGGTGGGCCAGAGAGCATCCCTCCCTTCTGCTGGGTTTATATAATTTCAGGTGTGCCTAGTTAACTTCCCAGATTCCCACATGTTCCAGGTGGGTCCACCTTCCAACCAACCCCTTCTTTCCCCAGGCTAGACTGACAGTCCTCTTTGGTCCAGCTCCTCCCCCTGCTGCCGCTCTGATCTGAAAAAAAACTGGCAAGTCAGCTACTGGCAGTGGTAAAAAAATCTTTAAAAAAACAGAATCTCTTAAGAGAGGGACAGGCAATGTTGTAAACCCAAATGAAAGACATAGAATTAAGACAATTCTCTGTATTTATATTTGGCCAGTAAGCCACTCTTTCAAATGTGATTTGATGGATTACGTTCATTCAGAAGTTTGATCCGGCATGAATGGACTTCCACTGCAGAGTCAGCTGTGCCCGAGCTTCCGAAAAGATAGGGTCTGTCAACAAAAGAAAGTCCAGCCTGAGAGAAGCCTTGTAATAGTTTATCTGAGCAAAACTAATGACAACTGCCAGGAAGCAAACGCTCAACAGATTGAAGAAATGCTCGGGAGAAGGGTGGTTTTGCAGCTTATTTTATCCATTGGAACCCAAGGAGGAGACGTAAGGAGGGCACGTGAAATCCACTGGTGGTAGATTAAGGGGCTGGGAAAGCGAAGCGGGGGACCCCTGGGACTGGAC